ACCTTAGCTGAAGGCAGATGCTTAACCAAGTGAACGACCCATACTGTTTTAAATTTACAGGTCTGTAAAATGGGAAGGTCTAGCAAATGCTGACCTCGAGAAAATGTACTTGTAAATGTTAAGCCAGCTGTCAGGATGACTGAGCCACCATGAGCTTGGGAGTGCCTGTGTCAGCAGCCCCACCTTCTCCCTCATGGGCCATCACCATCTGCCACCTCCCTGCCTGCCTTTGCGCTCTTCTACACGACCCCGATCAAAGCTTTAGGAGAATTCGAAGTGGTTCCTTCTAAGAGTCTAGAGACCTGTGGCCATCACCACTACCAACAGCAAACGTGCTGGGGAAAGCGGCAGTGACCTGGTCCCGCGCCGGGACTCTGCTGCTAACCAGCTTTGTCACCTCGGGCCCGTCACGTAGCAGCCCAGAGTCACGGCTCTTTCTCTTCTTCCTAAATACCATCTGTTTTCCATCGAGAAGGACTGCTGCAAAGAACAAATGATATATTTTTTAACTGATAAAACCATAATTCTCTTACATGGGCCCAGGTACCACCACAAATAAATGAAAGGGGCTGGTGAGAAGCAAAACAGGGCCACAGCGTAATCTCCACTGAATGACCCTGGGTTTGGGGAGAACAGGAGCAGGTCAGACTCTGCGAAGTGGAGCGCCCGCGATCTAGTGCTGACTGCTACTAGCTGGTAAGGAGGGAGGCCCTGTGTCATCAGAGCTGCTGATTTCCTCAGCGACACCACGGAGCTTCACTGGGTACACATGAAAGCTCCTGGTTACTCAGCTGTTAGCAACTATTTCACAACTTTAAAAGCCAGGGGACCATTCCTGAAAGGCCAAACGAAACATGTCTGAGGGCCAAATTTGGCCCCGAGGTGCCTGTTGGTGACATGTGATATACACACACATCCTACTGTTCCTGTGTTTCAGAGGGATATATAGGGCTGGGACCCCCTACCAGTTCTTCTCAGTGTCCTTCCCAAAGACTACCCTATGGCTGCTCCTCACAGTGCTAAGATTTTCCAGAAAGTTCTTCATGTACCTTCATGTGTGGATACTGTAAACAACTCTTCTTGTGAAAAGTTAACTGGGCCTTGAACCAATCCAACAGGGTCACCATCTGGGAGTCCTCAGGAACTGAATTGTCAGTACTGTAAACATTTTAGACTTCATGGAAGACACTGACTTTTTCTAAACTAATCATCCCTGCCAGTCAAGATTTGCAGTATGGGTTCAAGAACAAGGCATTCATTTAACAACAATCACAAGAATATTGAGGATGAAGACTGGGCGGTCATCATAATGAAAGGCCTAAAAGCAAACTGTGACTTCCCAAATAAGGCGACGACCAAAGTTAGCTCTCTGGTGGGGAAGCACCAATACGATTAATCAGTCTGTTTTCAGTTTTCTCACGACAGCAATATTAACAGTTTGCTTTATTCTGTTTATATGGTGCTGACAGGTCTTCAGCACGTTGGGCCTACTTGCTGGGGATTAATGGCTACTCCTATACGGAGGTAAAAACCAGGCAAGGAGAAAACGCCTTTCACAACTAGATAAGAACTGGCTTCCCTTGCTCTCTTTTGTTCCCCTGCTGCACATCAACTCCTCTTTTAATTTCTATCAAGGTTACATAAGATGTTCTATCCAGTAGGTTCTTGTGTTTAAGTTTTACTTTAAATGTTGAGTTCCCAAGTGAGACAAAGGGAACCTTAAATATTATATCTAAGTTCATCATCTCTCCTATCAAGGGTGCTGTTGGCTAATTTTGTTTTTAAAATGCCAGACTCCTTATAAGGGTAAAAGGTAAGAGATGGCCTCTGGTGACAGGAATTTTAGCATATTTGGTGGGTAATGGTTCCCCTTTGACCTAGGGTTATTTAGTGCATACTTTAAGGCAGCAGAAATGATACTAAGTACGGCCCAGCTGTAAGAAGTATAGGCATCCCAGAAATAGTCCTATTTCAAAATAAAAAGATTTAAAATAAGACCAGCCCCGTATAAGTACTGCTTGTTATTGGTATCCTTTTCTCTGTGCCAGGATGGGAAGACATGGTAAACCCAAATGTTAACACCATACAAGTATAGAGAAACTAAGATAACAAATTTCTTAAAAAATCAATGTGCCTCCTCTAGGGTTCTGTAGGAATCTCATTCTTTGGTCTTAAGGAACCTCCTGCCCCACCCATTTTTATGCAACAACTGAATGAATAAGTATGCATCACATACCCAGGAACCTCAAGCCCTGTGGCCAGAGTGAGCTCTCTAACCCACTTCCTCTGGCTCACTGCTCTCCTGACCGAGGAACAGGAAAGGGACTGATTCTAGTCAACAGGGCATCAGCGGAGGCTTTTTTTTTTTTTTTTTTAAGATTTTTATTTATTTATTTGATAGACAGAGATCACAAGTAGGCAGAGAGGCAGGCAGAGAGAGAGGGGGAAGCAGGCTCCCCGCTGAGCAGAGAGCCCGATGCGGGGCTCGATCCTGGGGCCCTGGGATCATGACCTGAGCTGAAGGCAGAGGCTTAACCCACTGAGCCACTGAGGTGCCCCAAGCGGAGGCTTTTGAGTGGAAACTTCTAACTCAGACTTTTAAAGCCGGAGATAAGAACATTCTAGGATAGTAAAGCAGTATTGATAATAGTATTTATTGAATGCTTACTATGTATAAGCACTATTGTATGCACTTCAGTTGTAAAAAAAAAAAAATTTTAATTCCCACAACAGAATGCATTAAAGTAAGTTAAATCGTGTTCGAAGTACAAGATATTTGACAGGAGACCAACATACTGGAGTAGATTTGCATAGATCTTGAGTTCCGTACTTGTACTTAATAATTTACCTGACATGAAGATTCAATGAGGGAGGGAAGAAACTGACGTGAGGCTAGTTGGAAGGATACTGCAATAGTCCTGAGACTCCAAGCCAGGGTGTACATTGAAAGTGAAAAGGAGAGGAAAGATTTGAGACTTATGCCCCACAACCAACTAAATTTTTTTTGACTGATTTGTTTTTTAGTTCATCTATTCATTCAAGAATTATTTTTGAGGGTTGCAGATGGGTCAGACACTGTGTTAAAGGACATCTAAGGAAGAAATAAAATCCAAAGACTGACTCCCTCCTCAAAACTGGGCTATTAGCCATCATTCAGTGGTCTCAAGTGACACACAGTAGACATTTGTCCATCCCTCCCTCCTTTCCATCCTTCCATTCAAAACTTACTGAGTTTTGGTCATGAACAAGTGAGGAAAGAAAAATGAAGGAAAGGAAAGGAAAGGAAAAAAGACTGCTATCTTCCTTTTCATAGTCCTAGGAGTATCTTCTTTCTAGAACTTCCATTCCTTTTCTGGTGGTCTGGCCATAAGGCAAAACACAGTGGTAAACCACCAGACTTTGGGAACAGCATAGGTATTCTTAGTCATTCAAATGAAGAGAGGATCTACTTACTTTCTAAATGTATTCGCTGAAGTGGCATATTTATTCAAAGCAAAACATTGTGTCAGAAAGATATCTAGGGGCACCTGGGTGTCTCAGGTCAAAATCTCAGGGTCTTGGGATCGAGCCCTGGGGTGGGCTCCCTGCTCAGCAATGATCTGCTTCTCCCTCTCCCTATGCTTCTCCACCCGGTCTGTAATCACTCTTTCTTGCTCTTTCTCTCAAATGAATAAATAAAATCTTAAAAAAAAAAAAGGGGGAATTTAATATGATTCCCATGTGTAGATTTTAACACTGTCTAGAAGTATAGGCACAAGAAAAACTAGCTCTGAGCAAAGCCAAAAGTGAATAGAACAAACATACTTTGAACATTAAAAATCTTGTATCTCATTTAGTTGGTAAATTAGAGACATATAATCCTATTGCCTTCCAGGGAAAGCCCTGATCTTTTAAAATTAAGATTTGCCTAGCCTTTATAAGAATAAATCCTCAGCAATTTCTAATGCATTCTGAAAAACAACTAGGTAATAGAATGACTACCACTGACAGGTATTTTGTTTTATGGCAGCTGCCTTTTCATTACTATTTTATGAGAGCTTGTCTAGATATTATGTATTCCTCACTATCTACATTAAGTTCTTTTTAAAATGTCTTCTTCAGATGGCTGGAGTTATGTCAGTTTCTTTGGATCTAACCAGATCTCAAATAACAAACTATATCACTTTAGTATTTTCCAAAGGTTCTTTTGCATGTAGGCTCAACTCCAGAAACCATGACTAAGGTATGCTTTTGGTTATTTCTATTAAAACATTAAAAGGTATTTTTAGGGACCCATGAATACCATCAACAATTATTTCAAGTGTAAGCTCGTTCGTATATGCCAAGGGTGAGACTTGAAATGCCCATAAAATCTAACTGTAAAAGAAGGAATCTGATGAGAGCAGGCACATTTTAACTTCAGTTTTATGCTGAGGATCTGAACCTGGTAGGGACTTGTGTGTTCTACGAACTCTGCGACGATAACGAAGCTACGGAAGAGCAGCCTGCACGGATGGGGACATGAAAAGGCAGAATCCTGGGCCTGTGCACCTTCATCCCAGCCTCCACCGCCCACGCCACTTCCCATGCCAGTTTCTGTATGGAAGGTAAGAACTAAACCACCACCCACTTATTTCCACTGAAAGATGTCTTTAAGTTATGGTACAGTTCAAACACGCTCATCTTACAAATGGAACTAGGAAAAGTGTAAACACTCCGGAAGTGATCAGTGAGGACCCACCTGTAATTATCTTCTCAAGTGAACCTAAGGGGAAGAGCAGTTGTCACCGCTGTGGGAAACTAGTTCCCTGCATGACAAGCCTTCAGTTATGCTGAGATAATTACCTTCATTTTTCTGGGCTCAACCAGAGAGGACTTTGGAGGAAAAAAGTCAAAGATGAGCCCAGAGGGAGAGGCGCAGAACTCGAGAGGGTGCACACTGGGAAGGCGGGGAGATGATCTGAGCGCCGTCCCCGAGTGAGAGGCAAACCCAGTGGAACTGCCTGGCCCGGTGACCTTACCTGCGGCGCAGGTCCTCGGCCACGGCGGCCCGGCAGCTGAACAGGTAGGCTCGCAGAGATTTCAGCCGCTGCCGCAGCCGCACCACGGTGGCCAGTGGCTCGGCGTGCCGGTACAGCATGGGGTTCTCCTGCTGGATGTCGATCAGGGGCTCTTCGTACACGTACTCCAGAAACTCTTTGGCCTGCTTCGATACCTACGAAACAAACTTCCTCAGTCAGTCTGGCAAATCATCCATCTTGCCACACCTCCTCCAAGTAGGAACCAGAGTTTAAATATCAAAGGCACATTATTTTCTGAACAAGCCAAGAGAAAAAGCCCATAATTTAACTAAATATGAATTGTGTCTTTTCTTTCTCTCTTCCGTGAACTTGTAGAAGTAACCTTGGCATGGAGAAGAATTCATTAATTTTGAATCTTGATTATGGTGGTGATTACACGAATCAACATGTGATAAAATGACACAGCACTATATAGACCCACGATACCCATGGCCACTTTTTTTTTTTTTTTGGATATTGTACCATAAGTGATCTAAGATGTAACCAATTGGAGAAACTGGGTGAAAGGTACACAGGATCCCTCCTTATCTGTGCAACTTCCTGTGAATCGATAATCATTTCTAAACACTGCTGTTAAGAGTCTTTTAATTTTTCATTTTAAAAACTACACACACGTATATTCTGTACTACTTTTATAAGTAGCCTTTTTTAAAAAATAGGTAAATCATGTACATATTACAAAATTCAAAAGGGATAAGAGGATCGCTTAAAACAATCTGCAGAAAACAGGCTGAAAAAACACACTTTGGTGAGCAGAAAGGAGTGCTCTTAGAATGACATTGAGCCAGGGTTGACTGACTAATCTATCCATCCAATTCTATATCCACTTCTGGGAGTAAACATCAAGACTATGAAAAAGTGAAAATGTCATTGTCATTAGAGTAGAAACACAATGCATCTGAGATACAGAAGGAGTAGCTTAAATAATATGTAACAAGTAGGGAATTTGGGGGAATCTTTACATATCAATTCACTGATACCAGATGTGGATTGGCTAATGATATGTAGATTTGGCTTAGTTTCTATTTAGGGAAGGTAAAGCCTCTCTAAAAAGTTTCTACCAAAACTGCTGTAGTTCTGGGAGTAATGGTAGAGTTCAACATTAAAAAAAACTTTGCTTATTAAAAAGAAAATTGAAAATCCACTATGCCTTACATTCCAGGCTAGAAGTATATTAATGAAGATAAATAGGATATAGTCCTTACCCTTAAGGGACTCACTATTTAGTATCAGAGATAAATATTTAAAAGAAAAACTGCATGTAGCACATAGCCTGGCCTCTACTACAGAAGAAATACGGATGAGGCCCTCTGGTAGCTTAAAGGAAGGAGAAATCAGCTCTCTTGGGCAGAAGGGAGCCCCTGGCAAAGCAGGCTATACTGCCTCAGGGACTCGAAGGATAAACAGAAATTCACTTGATGGGCAAGGGTGGGACAGAGGGGATGACCACTAGCAGATCCAACCAGGAGAACCCTTCGATATGAATAGGTGATAACTAAATGTACGGCTATCATATGTTGATTAAAACACATTTGTGTAATTTAGTATTTTGTAATATAAAATAGAACTCATATAAAAGTTTGTTATAAAGAGATACAAAAAAGCACTGTTTTTTTTTCCGTAATAAAAGTCACGTTTTTTTCTTTATTAGCATTTTTTTTTTTTAAGATTTGACAGAGACACAGTGAGAGAGGGAACACAAGCAGGGGGAGTGGGGGAGGGAGAAGCAGGCTTCCCATTGAGCAGGGAGCCCAAAGCGGGCTGATCTCAGGACCCTGGGATCATGACCCGAGCAGAAGGCAGACGCCTAACGACTGAGCCACCCAGGCGCCCCTCCTTATTAGCAATTATTTTTGAGGTACCTGTTGTGTGATCCTTTGGGGGTCCTGCAGTTATGTAGGTGGTGAAGTTTACAGTTTCTGAAAATCAGCTTACAAAAAGGCACCCAGAATTAGCCAAAACCTTCCACTACTTAACTGGACGGGAAGTAACTGTTGGCAGGGATACATAATGCCTCACTCTGAAGCACGGAGACACAGGTACATGCCACATAGATACGACAGCAGGCATCAGTGGAGAATAAAGCAGTCATGGCCCTCTCCTCATGTAGCTCAAGGTTTGGTGGAGAAAAACAGAATTGGTTCAAATATTTTATCATGGCTAAATATTTGCTATATTTAAATATCTTAAGTGGGGGGGAAAAACCTGATGGTGTTCTGGGAAATGAAGTACAGTCCACTTGAAACTGTTGCTGAAAATGATGTATTGTACAATTCAATTAGTCTTTCTAGCTCTACTGAGCAGTGTTTATACTGAGTCACGGCCCTGCTGAATTAGGTTAACAATACTACCTTTTAGTAGGTGAACAGAAGGACAAAGGGCACCGGCCAGTCTCCCAGGCCTGAAAAGGCTTCGCTCTCCAGGTGGTACTTAAGCGCAAAAGGGAAAAAAAAAAAAGTCTTTTTCAAAGACAGTAAAAGCAGTGAGACAAATGGGACAGCAGCTAACGACATCAGTGTTTATAAGGTGAAATTACTAAAAACAAAAACAGAGCTAGTATCAATAACGTCTACGGCTCTGCTTCACGAAGTTATTACCGGTGTTGAGAATACAGAGCATACCGCGACCGCCGCGGCCGCCGGAGCGGGCAAACAAATCCTCGCAACACTGAGCCATGTTTTTGGCAACACGGCTGAGCACATGCTCACTTTTGAGAATCCACCACTTACAATGGTAAGAGAATTTTTGACAGAGCTAAGAATTTGGCATAAAATGCTATTTTTGCAAAAGAGAGTGCTGTATCCTCACTGATTTCCTAAGTTCTAAATAACCCTGCATACTGGTATAAAGCTTTTTAAGAAAGATCACGTTAAAACATATATAGATACTTAGGGAAGGAAGCCAATGATATTCTTAGGTGATAAAGTTTATATGAGAAACTTTCTTTCCTGTTAACAGAAATATTACATAAATTACATAAATTATATGTGAACACCAAATATATTCCACCTAAGAGCTACTGTCCTATTTTCTGCCAGCCAAATTATGAAAACCCTGAAAAGCCCAAGCGCTGTTTCGGATGTATATAAAAAGTCAGCTCACAGGTGCAGGTAGATGGACCCAATACATCTTAAAAAATGGTGTTGGTTGGCATTCTTTTCCATGATCCCACTCCACATCAGAAACAACTTTTGTAGGGTCAGTAGTTCATTTTTCAAACCTACTCATCTCTCGATATTTTACTAACACTTAATGTTTATTAGTAATTAATATAATTTCTTACTATAGCTTTTTTAGCTTAAAAACAGACTAAGCTATAAGAACTCAAGTCTGTGACTTGATTTTGCCAGTTTGTGAACTGGTGCCCGCTTCACAGCGCTGCAGTCTGTGGGATTCAAGAGTTGAGGAGGAGGAAGTCAAGGCAGAAAGCGGCTCCTCCACACCTCACACACGGGTGTCGTCGTCGGAGGAAATAGCAAGTGGGTTATAATCAGCTTCAAATTATAAGGACCAAATGTGCTCTATAAACATATGTATTTATAAGTAAACATATTTGTTATTTGAGAAGTAACCATCATTGGTACAGATTTAAACATAATACATCTTTTGTTAAGCTGGTGACAGCTACCGCTTAAAAACAGAATTCTCAAATGTTCAGGTTTACGTAATTCTGAGAAAGAGGTTCTGGAATGGTGTCCTGGTATGTTCCCCCACAAAAACAGCCCCGGGGGAGAAAGCAGTGGAGCAAAGGGAATGTTTAAGCAGAGAGGGCAGTTTGGAGATGATGTGGTGGGGGTGGGGAGAGTGAGGACTTCAGCTGTTGTAAGGAAGGAAAGAAAATGCATTAGAATAAAACAGATGAGACCATAATTTTAGAATAACAAGAATTGGTGCAAATAATCTAGTTCCATTTTTCTCAGCCTGTGTTCTAAGGAATACTGGTCCCACAAAAATGGTGCTCTGAAAATGCCACATGCCACATTCTTCGCTTAGTGATTCAGTGCAGCATGTCCGCCTACGAAAGCCTGCGGACATGCTGTCTGCTTCGCCTGCTTAGCCCAGCAATTTCCCAAACCTAGCTGCAGACAGGGCAGCTGTTCAGTGTTGTGCGGGCCTTGGGCAGGGGGCGGTGGGGGATGAAAGTCAGTTAGAGGCCCCTACCTGTCTGGAGGTAGGGGCCTCTAACTCCTTCCATCCTCTTGCCGTGAGCTGTGAGCTCCCAGGGCTGCATTCTCTTGAGGCGTCCTGTTCCAATTCCAGAGGCTGTGACCCTCCTATAGAACCCTCTTTTTGAGCAACACCTATTAACAAACATTGAATCCAGAGAGCTTAAGGAACTTAACTGCTCAGATCTCTGGATACTCTATTCTGTGCTTTTTAGCATTTACATTCACAGTGTTTTGTATTCTTTAATAACTCTACCGTAAACTACCCATTTGTTTACTTGTCAAAAGAGGTGATCCCTGTCCACGTTCTGTCCTTCCCTTTCCCCAAATACAAAGGGAGACTAACTGATGATGTAATTTGGCAGTATGCTGGCCATTTGATTTGAACTATGAAACAAAAATTAAAGTCCAGTAAACCATCGTTTATCCAGAAGGTACTTATTTGTGTATTTGTTTATAATCTTTCTCCCTCCGTTGGAATACGAGCATTCACTATGTCCCCACTGCCTAGAAGAGTGAGCGTGCTGGGTGTTCGACAAACACTTGCTGAAGAAATGTACAAGGGCTTTATGATGCTCTGGCTGTGACTCTGAACCACACACTCTTACTTTACACAGACTTCTAAAGGCTCGGCTGTTTGTTTCTAAGCTCACCACATCTTTAGAGTTGAGAGAGTAGACAAGGGGAAGGACAGCACAGTCACACCAGAAGTGACAGCAGGAATCCTGGTACCAAGGAAGAAAGGGGCCTGCAAGGAGCTACAGGTAAAAGTGCAGCACACGAAACTGACTGAGGACAATTTAGAACGTGCAGCAAACTCAAAAATGTACAAATCTACATCCAGGAAGGTGTCCTCAGTCTCACTCGTGAATGAAAGAACGTACATTCAAAACAATGTATCAAGTTATGCATTGAATCATTACCTGTAATAGCAAAAGACTGAAAAGAAAAAAAAACAAAACCAACAA